ATTTTCCAGAGCGTTTTTCTAAAAACCCTTATTGCCCTTGAACAATCAACGCACGGCAAATAAAAGAGTAATCTCTACTCTCACAGAATCCGTTTTAAGTTTGAAAATTGGCCGATGGGAACCTTTATCCAGTTACAAATGAATAAAGGGGTAAGTTTCTAAAGAAACTGTGGTGCTGCGTCGGTGGGGGTAACAAGGTAATTTGGAAATATCAACTAAGTTGAAATTGTAAATTGGCCACCGTAAAGAGTTAAAAAGCTGACATTTCGAGCGTTAGCCCTTCGTCAGAGCGAATGAGATTTACTCTGACAAAGAGCAAGAACAGAGGGAAAATAAGTTGTCTGTTCTGAATGATCGCTTTTCTTTGTGGAAGAACGAATACATGTTAATAATTAGAATTTCCATTAGATATGAGCCGATGCAGTTTCCTGAAGTTTTCATGATGCTCAGTGTTCTACTTGTCCCTGGAGAGTTTTACCAGATATTATCTTGGCCATTTAAGGATAAGGTGTGCTTAACACTGATTAATAATCAAAACTCAGCCAAAGATAAGAGAATGAACATACCGTCCGTGTTTGATTTTGGAGAGGAAAAAACAAATCCTTAGAGGCATCTTGCCGCAAAGAATATCGGAGAAGTCTCTACGACTTTTACCACTGCATTAAAACTTTAAAAAAGCAGACCTTTTAGAATGAACGATACTATTTTCGTAATCGCCAGCACGGAATAATGCACTGATCAACCATAATGAGAACGGTGGTAACCTTGTCTCTTGTTCTGCTTACCTTTTGTAGAACAGAAGAGACTAGTATATACCACGTCTACTACGGACATCCTGCGCGGCCTGGGACCGAGTGAAATAATACTTGTTAGGAACGAAATAACATTTCGTTTCCTCAGTTTTTATCCTTCTGGTTGACCTGTCTCTCACTGGAAAACTTTTCAAAATTAACGGTCAGTATGCTTGTCTCCTGTTTGTGGAGGGGACTATATTTTGAAGTTTTATCATTTATTCATTCAATTTTCATTCCAAACCTTTGTAGTGACGTTTGCGAATCCCATTCTGGAAGCGCTCAAGAAGTCACTTTTCTATATGGGAAGGAAGTTTCAACAGTCAGTAGCAAAGTTGGTAGGGTCAGTTGTCAGCATATAAAAATATTGGCTTTGTCCACATTACATTCAGATCATTTTTGCATGAATAGCAGCACAACAAATCAGCGTTAGGATTTCATCGACAGGGCTGAATAACGTATACGCATGCGCTGGGTTTTGTCGCGGAAACACGGATTTTGAGTCGCTCGCATGGTTGATCTCCTATTCTGTAGCTTCGAGGCGTTGTTTTCCTTGCCGCTTTTCTTTTACAGGACAACCTCCTAAAATTTGGTACACCCTCTAAAAATTTTCAAAAATTAATTTTCTCCTTTAAACCTTTGGAAATAGGAAAGTGCCTTCGACGAAAACAGAGTTCCTCGGTTTTAAAGGTAAGCCCGTATTATTTTCCGCCAATTTCGCTAAATTTTAGACCTAGGACACTTGAGCCCGCGTTGTTGACCACAAACCCGCTGACGTAGCATTTCATTATTCAGCTCTGTCTATTTCATCGGGAGCCTTTTCTCCGTTTGTGTTCTCTTTTTGACTCTCGGGTCACACCCAAACAAACCAAGGCATCAGCTTCTAGTTTTACTGATCAGAAAACAAAATCTACCGAAGCCTTAGGGAAGATGGGAAGCTTTTTTCTGGTCGCTCGAGACATGCCGACTTTTGAAGTAGACGTCCAGTGTAAATGGTTGGAAGAAAATGTACCTGAATTCGCGTTCAGATTACTTTAAAATGTGCTGCGTTTCTTAAACTTGGATCCTACTTTTATCCATTTTAGTTGATTCACACTCAGTAACCGCTAAGCATTTATAACTATATGATTGATTGGCTACCTCGCGGAAGTTACCGTGCGATTTCAGTTGCGTCGTTTCTTGCTTTGGCCCAGAACGCTGATTGGAAGATCTTGTTGACAGTTATTTGGAATAAATTCTCTTTTCGTTAGTGGCCTCAATGACAGCAGTAACATGTAAGCAGTCCATGTGCTGTATCAGATGTGTGTTGATACCCAATAAAGTAACAACAGGACGAAGATCTAGCACGAATTTTCTGCAACAGTTACGTAATTCATAAATGGTTTCAAAAAAGTAACTTTGATATATAGGAAAATCATAAACTCATCTACAATAAGTCTGCACTCAACAAAATCAACCTTTAGATTCAGGCTCATTCGTTTTAATTTTGTTTAGAACATAACCAAAGTAAAGCGCGCCCTCTGATCGGTCAATTTAGCGTCCGCCATTTGCCTATGAGTGTACGCTGCTGACGTGAGCAAATGCAAAGACTATTTTTCCGCGCGCGCTTGTTTTTTCTGGTCACGTAAGATTTGTTAAATAAAAGGGAACTCTTTAGCTACAATGTATCAATGTTATGTTAGAAAACAAATGGTAAACACCACAGCGTACACTATTGAGTTATGGATGCACTTGGGAGGTTTGCTAAGCACTCAAGAAGCTAGAGTCGCTCTCGGCTATCGCCTCGAGCGACTCTTACGCTTCTTTCGTGCTTAGCAACCTCCCGCGTGCATCCATAACTCAATAGTGTACGCTGTGGTGTTTACCATTTGTTTTATAACATAACATTGATACATTGTAGCTAAAGAGTTCCCTTTTATTTAACAAATCTTACGTGACCAGAAAAAACAAGCGCGCGCGGAAAAATAGTCTTTGCATTTGCTCACGTCAGCAGCGTACAC